ACAACACCACACACCTTGTCCAAACCAATGTACTACGCAACACCTGTGACCTTCATGTTAAGTGTGGTACACAACACCACACACCTTGTCCAAACCAATGTACTACGCAACACCTGTGACCTTCATGTTAAGTGTGGTACACAAAACCACACACCTTGTCCAAACCAATGTGCTACGTAACACCTATGACCTTCATGTTAAGTGTGGTAAACAACACCACACACCTTGTCCAAACCAATGTACTACGCAACACCTGTGACCTTCATGTTAAGGGTGGTACACAAAACCACACACCTTGTCCAAACAAATGTGCTACGTAACACCTGAGACCTTCATGTTAAGTGTGGTAAACAACACCACGCACCTTGTCCAAACCAATGTGCGACGTAACTCCTGTGACCTTCATGTTAAGTGTGGGACACAAAACCACACACCTTGTCCAAACCAATGTGCTACGTAACACATGTTACATTCATGTTAAGTGTGGTACACAAAACCACACACCTTGTCCAAACAAATGTGCTACGTAACACCTGTGACCTTCATGTTAAGTGTGGTAAACAACACCACGCACCTTGTCCAAACCAATGTGCTACGTAACACCTGTGACCTTCATGTTAAGTGTGGTTCACAACACCACACACCTTGTCCAAACCAATGTGCTACGTAACACATGTTACATTCATGTTAAGTGTGGTACACAACACCACACACCTTGTCCAAACCAACGTGCGACATAACACATGTGACCTTCATGTTAAGTGTGGTACACAACACCACGCACCTTGGTTTTGAATTGATGTAGTTCAGTGAAACAAATAGCTGTATATTATTTTAATTCAAAATATAGTTCCCCTGTTTGTGAATTTGCCATCCTGTTCTTTTCTGGAGAAACCAAATTATTTATGATTAAGTAGATATAATTATAATACAAACAAACATGGGGTAAATACAACATTTTTATTATATTCCAAAGATTACAAATGGTAGTTGATAAAATACAAAGATACAGTTATGATTTAGAGAACTACAACAGTCAACACCACGAACATGCAATGAGATAGTGAAACATGTTATTGGAGAAGAATTGATCGGTTTGTTACCACTTTGATAGTAATAACTGTTTAGATATAAGGCCTCAGCATCTGTACAATGGTCCATTTTGGATGGAAACAGTTATTTTTATTATGCAATAATGATGATTGAATTTCAACAAATTAAAAAGTATAAACCAGGTGCATATCCAGGATTTTTCAAAATGTGCACAAGTTTTAAATGATAGCAAAAAAATCTTGAACAGCGAGACAAACCTGCTTTGCAGATTTAAATTAAAAAAGAAAAATCACAACTGGGACCTGGGAAGGCCTTTGTAGCTACTTTGAGAATCTATATGACTGTACAGATGTAGTAATACTAAGATACTTGTTCGTCTAATACCCTACCTATTGTAAGCTTCATGAAGCGCCCTGAGAAAAAATTAATGAACAAAGGCCCCTAAAACACTACCAAACCAATCCTTCCTGCAAAGCATGTGGCGTTGATCTTTCAGCCTCTGTACCAGAGTTGGGGTGAATCCCCAGGTGAAGAAACTATACTTTTTTGAAAAAGATTAAATTTGGTAAAATTTCAAGTGCCAAAATTAGGTTACCAAACTTGACAGATTACAATTTCTGACTATTCAAAATACTGTGTAATTGGGTTTAAAAACATGTACTTAACAATCCTCTTACTTGCTTATGATCTAATTAGAGTCGGAGTAGGAATACAGATAAAAGGTCCCTTCCTTCCCCCACAATCCTCTACATTTAAAGGCTTGTGGAGATCGCAAGGTATTATATTGAATACAAACAGTATGTACAATTGATAATAGTGAAAACAATATTTTACAATAAAATGAGGTAATCCATGAGGATAAAGACGGTAAAAGGTACACTTTATCTATTGCGTTCGGTACAAACATCTACTATAACATCTTTTTAAAACTGATTGAGAATTCCTGGATTGACTGTTAGGAAATTTTAATCTGAATAAAACTTCCATATCAAATTATGAAGAAATTAATAAAAACATAGACGACAAGATATGTAGCGAAAAATAAATATTTTTCACTCCATGATAACATAGGTTTGGTCCAAAAGTACCGCTAGTATTATCAAGGAGTGAAGTTGTAGTATATCTGAATTTCATGAATGAAATGATTAAAGGATACAAATGACCCCTGATCGGGAAGATTAGACAAGAACCACTGGCACAACTATCTTACAGTTCCTATGCATCTATAGTCAAGATAGACTTGTGTTCAGCTTGGTTGTGTCTCTAACTTGACTCCCTACTATGCTAAATATTACAAATAAGTATGAACTTTTTCAGAAACACAGGATGATTCCACTTGAGAAAACAGTTTATGTTGTTATTACATAAATCATACTCGTCTGATTAAAGACGAATGTTCATTACAACAACATGTACTGGTACATTCACGTTTAGTCACTAGTAAAGCGGGATAGCTCTACACATATCGTTTAAAAACATTCTGACAGAAGTGATTTTAGATTTTAACTCATTACCCCGAAAGACTCCTAAGAAACAGTACTCTTGCAAAAGATACAAAGAGTGTCACAACATGTTGCTGTACTCTCCAAATATTTTCATCCATCTTGACCATAAAAGCAATAAGAAATGTGTAAATTTACTAAAGTGACAGGATCCCTTCCTGCAAATACAGGAACGTACAAATCAGCTCGGGTAGTCTCAAACACGACTCGTCTTGATCAGAAAAGAAACGTAACATAATTTGTCAGAAAATGATGATGTTGATGCACCTTTTTTCAAATATTTTCATTTATTCTTTCCTCACTTAAAAACATATTCAAATCGCACAATTTATGGTGGTCTGTTACTCGTCCTACCACAGCTGTTGTAGAGACAACAAGACAAAATGATCGCTGCTTATAAATAACAGCTTCTGCCTTATAGTAAATGATAGTGTAATAATATAGGACTATATAACATAATTAAACTTGATAGTAAACTTACACATGTTGGACCAACAGATAATTTTGCCAGTGGATTTACCAATCTATTACTGCAGACAAGTAAAGACAAATACTACACAATCACCAATATCAAGAATCAGATTCAGGTGATGATACGAAGGCCTTTATAATACAGGTAACATACATTTACTCTCTGTGCCTGTTAACCAGACACACAGGTGTTTTATATGAGTATTGGACCACAGATGTACAAATACATAGCTACCGCTGTAAAAGATTGTCTGCCCATGTGTAACACACGCCATACCTCTACTCGGGACACTCGAGTAGACGTACATAGCTATCGCAGTAAATTATCCCTGTGTTACACTACACCTCATTCAAACACACAAGGTACAGGGCATTATGACGGGGGAGTGCTCTCATCAAACAGGAGGCAAGCAGTGAAACCGCTGTAGAGAGTTAAGAAATAAATTACAAATAAAAATATCTGTTGTATGTATCAACACGAGGAACCGCTAGATGAGGACATACACACACCATGATCAGGGGTCATTTGTATCCATCTTTGGTAATACACTACAGCTGCTAAAAATTTGAGCAAGTTATATGTCTTTCTCAAATCACATATTTATCCAGGGCGAAAAATGCGAGTAAAACATTCCATACCGACATTCTGATACAGGTGCCCATGGCAACACTCGATGTTTGATCACATTCTGTCAATCATATGATAATTATGCACTGCTTGCTACCTGTTCGTAATGAGCTGTCACTTACCTGTGTATAGCACAGGTACTATACACAGGTACCTACTGACAGGAACTACAATCACCATGACATTGTATACAGTGTTACCATGGACAACACAATCGCAGCAGAAAAGATTTAATGTTTATAAGAGTTTGTGAGTTTTGATTCCACCAATATAAAATCTACATATCTACAGAAATGCATGGGGGATACCATGCAGATAAGTCCTCTGTTTTGGTACGACTACAGTACCCGACGTGTTTCTCAATAGTACCCACACAGGTCTCTAGTTGATTAATTGTACGAAATTTAACATGTGGGCAGATCATCATCATCTATCCTCTATCGACGGGTGGCAGCTTTGATGTTCTAAAACAAAAGAAATAAATTTAAATATAAACAATACTGACCTAGTATAAACAGATGATGTTGCAGAACATCAGCCTTTCAAAGAGATACTTAACATTTTTATCTCAAACAATTTTGCACCACCTAATCAGGATTTAGAAAAAGCATACCGGCTACTTTTCAAACTAAACGTTACAGAGCGATCATTTAAGATGCGTGGGATACGTGTCTAGAATAATATTAGAGGAATTTTTGTATCTCGGAGACTAAATATGCAATACTGTAAAAATGTCTAACATTGGGTTGACTTACAGCAAAATCTTTGTAAAGTGCATCTAGAGACCGTTTTCTTACAATGTGGAAGGTCATAATACCCAAAAATTGAAAGTTACGATGGAAATGTTTGCACTTATTTGACTTTTGACCTTGAGATTAAAGTCAGAGCAGCCTAATGACCATGCACTGTACATCCTTTGCGGGTGATGCAAATTCCTGTAGGACATCTTGAACTGTTTAAAAGTTACAACCCGGATAAGATGTTCCTGAAAACTTTGCACTTATTGACCTTTGAACTTGAGGTCAAGCATACAGTGGCATGATGAGTGATGACAGTGCACTACACATTGTCTGTAGGTGATGCAGGTATACTACAAGTTTTCAAGATATCTTGACTGGTTTTAACGTTACGGTTTTGACAAGAAATTACTAGTTAAACCCGAAAAACTGATACTAAAACAGTCTTCCTTCATTCAAACCTAGCACAAATGACCATAGCGGTTACTAGGACGTAAAATACAAACAAACCAAACCCTTAAACAGGTTTTTTTCTCTCAGTTTTACATGATTTGTTCATATTAAAACATTCCAAGCATAAATACCTTTGTGATACTGATGCCGGTCAAATTCTCCACAACCAGTGGCAGTTTCTCCATGATGTTCAGGACCTCGCCAGTCAGCTTAGCAGCACCAACATCTCCCTTACCGCTGGATACCATCGTCACCTTCTTGGCGTTGGTCAGTGGAGCGGCTATTTCAGCAGCAAGCTGTTGAGCAATTAAAAGAAAAATGTATTCAGCCATCTTGTCTTCTCATTGATACATCATTTCTGTTCTTCATCTGTATATCATCTCCCAACAATTATTCTGTGGATATGCTTCAAATGTCCCTTCTTGTAAATGAAAACTTACTAAAATGTACAGTAATAAATACATACATTCCTTAATTTATGTTTTAGTTCTTGGCAAGATCTGCAGAAAACAAATTGTGTTAATCATGAAAGAATGGTCTCAAATCATGTCACTAACAAGCAAATTTGTAGAATGTATATCCGCCGGTTGCAGGACATATTGTTGGTTAACATTATTGAGGTTAGGTTTAAACATGTGAGTATTGTGTTGTTGAGACATAATGTATAGCTTGAAACTTGAAGAAAAAAGAAGAAGATGTATACCTCATTGATAATCCGTATATATGCACAAATCACATCGGTTGGCAAACTTAGCACATAAGGAATTTGATTGAAACATCTTAACAATATCTACAGAAATTATCACACGAAAACCAAAGAGTGACCAAGATGGGTGGGAAGACAGAGGAACACAAATATTGTTATCAAGTTTGAAGGAATTTGGCTAATATTTGCTAGAGTTATTAAGCGGAAACTGCAGATAATGATGTTTTTCGTTCATCAAGGGGCCATAACTCTGCCAAATGGAGTCTGATTAAATTGGTTGTCAAACTTGGCCGAGCCCTTAATTCGTTGAAACCTGTTACTAAGTTTTAAAACAATCGGATAATATTTGCGAGAGTTAATGAACAGAAACGGCAGATAATGACGTTTTTCGTTATTGAAGGGGCCATAACTCTGCCAAATAAAGTCCGCTGAAAGTGGTCATCGTACTTGGCCGAGCACTTAATACATTTAACCCTGTGACCAAGTTTGAAGAAAATCAGTTAGCATTAATACAAGGGGCAATAACTCCGCCAAATGGGATCCGCTAAAAATCGGTTAATATTTGTTGTTGTTATTGCACAGAAACGAAGCGTGACAGACAGACAAACCCAAATTAATATCCCTCGTTTCGGTGAAAGCGGGGGATAATAATAACTTACCTTGGGCATGGTCTCGAGGATCATGTCAATCATGGCAGAGTCGGCGTAGTCCTTCCAGGCATCGGCCTTCTTGGCCATCTGTTCTGCTTCAGCCTTGGCACGGGCCTCAATAGCAAAGGCTTCAGCGTCTCCCTTCACCTGTGAAAGCACACAGGTAATTCTGTATAATGTCTAACATTATTCTTCTGGTTGAAAACAAGGCTTTCTAGGGTGTTATGCATAATTAATTTTTTCTTACTGTAGCTTATTTTCACAATGTCTTTAAAAAACACAGGAAGCAGGTGTACAGACATCAATTTTTCATGTGAATCTTCCATTTTCTTTAGATTAAAATGAATTACTAACATCCTTCATAGGAACTTACCCTGATTGATTCAGCTTCAGCTTCAGCTTCAAGGGTGATCTTGATCCTGGAATGGAATCAATAAAATCTTAGAAATTACGTATTGAAGGTTTCATTGATTATAACAGATTTTCCTGTTTATGAATATCTCTCTTGTTCATAAACAAGAAGTAATCAAAGTTCAAACAAGCTAAAGTATAGAAAAGAAACAACCACAGGTTTGCTTGCTTAAACTCTAAAAGGGCCAGTGTCAATTGATGATGGGATGCTATCACAACTAAGTCTTAAGGGGCCAGTGTCCACTGATGATCGGATGCTATCACAACTTAAGTCTTAAGGGGCCAGTGTCCACTGATGATGGAACGATATCACAGCTAAAGTCTTAAGGGGCCAGTGTCTACTGATGATGGGATGTTATCACAGCAGTCTTAAGGGGCCAGTGTCCATTGATGATGGGATGTTATCACAGCTCAAGTCTTAAGGGGCCAGTGTCCATTGATGATGGGATGTTATCAAAGCTCAAGTCTTAAGGGGCCAGTGTACTTTGATGATGGGATGTTATCAAAGCTCAAGTCTTAAGGGGCCATNACGTATTGAAGGTTTCATTGATTATAACAGATTTTCCTGTTTATGAGTATCTCTCTTAAAACAAGAAGTAACCAAAGTTCAAACAAGCTTAAGTATAGAAAAGAAACAACCACAGGTTTGCTTGCTTAAACTCTACAAGGGCCAGTGTCAATTGATGATGGGATGATATCACCACTTAAGTCTTAAGGGGCCAGTGTCCACTGATGATGGGACGATATCACAGCTTAAGTCTTAAGGGGCCAGTGTCTACTGATGATTGGATGTTATCACAGCTCAAGTCTTAAGGGGCCAGTGTCCTTTGATGATGGGATGTTATCACAGCTAAAGCCTTAAGGGGCCAGTGTCCTTTGATGATGGGATGTTATCACAGCTCAAGTCTTAAGGGGCCAGTGTCTACTGATGATAGGATGTTATCACAGCTAAAGTCTTAAGGGGCCAGTGTCCTTTGATGATGGGATGTTATATCACAGCTAAAGTCTTAAGGGGCCAGTGTCCTCTGATGATGGGATGTTATCACAGCTCAAGTCTAAGGGGCCAGTGTCTACTGATGATGGGACTTTACAATAGCTATGGTCATATCAAGAAGGGGCTTTAGAACAAGTAAGGCAGAGCATTCTTACATGACATATCATACACCTACAAAAGAATAAAGCTAAGAAATTCAAAGGTTTTACCAAGGGTTCTTCAGATCAATTTGTTCCATTTAATGTTTCCTCTGTATACAATATCGAATAATTTATTTATTTTGCTGGGAGTTCACAAAATTTCTGATATTAGTTGAAATGTTTTAATGGAACTTACCTGTCAGCTTCAGCGATTTTCTCCAGTCTGTACCTCTCGGCCTCGGCAGGCTTTCGTACCTGTGCCTCGAGTTCACGTTCACGGCGCATGATTTCCTGTTCCTGCAGTTGAATCTGCTGGGTCCTCTCCACAACCTTGACCTGCATCTGTTCATTCTTGATTCTCTGCTTTGTTTTTGCAGCCTGGACAATCAAAACAAAGTTTGTCACTTGACCTAATTCTGACATCAACTGACATTATATATTTAATGATATACCCATCCTGTATCATAAGTGATTTGTGAAACAAACAATTAAAGACCATTAATTTTCACCTGTACATCCTTAAACAGCTCATTAACCTATAAATTCTACACCACATATTTACTGTAATTCCTAACTCCGTTAACCTGTAAATTTTACACCATATATGTTCTGTAATCCTAACTCCGTTAACCGATAAATTCTACACCATATATTTACTGTAATTCCTAACTCTATTAACCTATAAATTCTATACCACATATTTACTGTAATTCCTAACTCTATTAACCTATAAATTCTACACCATATATTTACTGGTAATTCCTAACTCCATTAACCTATAAATTCTACACCATATATTTACTGCAATTCCTAACTCTATTAACCTATAAATTCTACATCATTAATTAACTGTAATTCCTAACTCTATTAACCTACAAATTCAACACTATATATTTACTGTTATTCCTAACACAATTAACCTATAAATTCTACACCATATATTTACTGTTATTCTAACTCTATTAACCTATACATTCTACATCATTTATTTACTGTAATTCCTTACTCTATTAATTCACCTGTATATTTAATGTAATTCCTTTTAATAATACTCTATTAACCTATGAATTCCCTATTTACCTGTAATTCGTAGGCCAGGTCAGACTGAGCCTTAGTGGTCTGAATCTCCATGTTGTATGCGGCCTGCTTCAGCTCAAAGTCACGCTGAGCCTTAGCAATCTCAATGTCGTTAAGATACCTGGAGGCCATTCTACGTTCCTCAGCCATAGCTTCCTGTAAAAAGTAACAGATAAACACATAATGAGAATTCAGCAAAGTAACAGAACATGCTTCCGAAAATTCATAGTTTGTCTAGGACTTTTGCATAATACTTATTGTCAGGGTATGAACTTCTAAAGTAACAGAATTGTCAAAGAGTTCTTTGTTATATCTATTTTCAGATTATTTGCTTCTAAACCAGATTTTCATGTTTGATGTTATTTAGAAAGTTTGGATTTACATCATTGACAAATTGGAGAATATCACAAATCATGTTCAAACTGATGATGAAAACACAATATCATTTTAAAAGTACTATGGAACCAACATGACCTGTACATGTATTGTACTGTTTACGGTTTGAATTATTACTGGCACAGAACATTTAATGCTTTAAATTACACCAAGAAGCAACATATACAGGCAGAGAATCTGTACAAATATATAGAGGTATTTAAGCTGTGACAATGGATTCTACATATTACAACACCCAACAGCTTACAGGGTAATATGTAACATGTACATATTTATTATCCCTCAGGTTTCATTGCAAATAATTTTTTGGAACATTTTAAGTCCTTTTTGTCAAAAAAGGACCTTGATTAATTTCAGATTAATTGAAAAAGTTGGTTTGTTATTCCAATTTGATTCTTTATTGTATATTAATTGTAAGACCAATATTACTGAAATATTCAATCAGGATTCTTCAAATGCTATCTGGTAGGTTTATGTTACTTGTTACTGAAACATAGTGACAAGAACCTTTCACTTCTTGTCAAGTAAAAAAATCCCTAATTCCATACAGGATTATAACCCAGAGATCCAGCATTTGAACCATACCGGATCTCAACTCTCAATGTTTATAAAAGTAAATGATCAATATTGCAGTGCATGACAATCTGCAACAATATCTAGGCTGTTAGTTAAGCATGACAAGTTACAAGTAGATTTTCTGATACAGATCAACCGATCATGATGTATTGCATAATAGTTGCAGAAGGTTGTACCAGTCAAAGCATCGCACATCATCAAGTCTCAAGATCTTGCTGAGATGTCAGCACAACAAACACTGGAGTAGCATGGATATGTCAACACAGCTAGACATACTTGTAGTTATAGGATATGTCAACACAGCTAGACATACTTGTAGTTAGGATATGTCAACACAACTAGACATACTTGTAGTTAGGATACGTCCCCACAACTAGACATACTTGTAGTTAGGATACGTCAACATAGCTAGACATACTTGTAGTTAGGATACGTCACCACAACTAGACATACTTGTCGTTAGGATACGTCAACACAGCTAGACATAGTTGTAGTCAGGATATGTCATCACAGCTAGACAAACTTGTAGTTAGGATATGTCAACACAGCTAGACATAATTGTAGTTAGGATATGTCAACACAGCTAGGCATACTTGTAGTTAGGATACGTCACCACAACTAGACATACTTGTCGTTAGGATACGTCAACACAGCTAGACATAGTTGTAGTCAGGATATGTCATCACAGCTAGAGATACTTGTAGTTAGGATATGTCAACACAACTAGACATACTTGTAGTTAGGATACGTCAACATAGCTAGACATACTTGTAGTTAGGATACGTAAACACAGCTAGACATACTTGTAGTTATAGGATATTTCAACACAGCTAGACATACTTGGAGTTAGGATACGTCAACACAGCTAGACTTACTTGTAGTCAGGATACGTCAACACAGCTAGACATGCTTGTAGTCAGGATATGTCATCACAGCTAGACATACTTGTAGTTAGGATATATAGTTGCAGAAGGTTGTACCAGTCAAAGCATCGCACATCATCAAGTCTCAAGATCTTGCTGAGATGTCAGCACAACAAACACTGGAGTAGCATGGATATGTCAACACAGCTAGACATACTTGAAGTTAGGATACGTCAACATAGCTAGACATACTTGTAGTTAGGATACGTCCCCACAACTAGACATACTTGTAGTTAGGATATTTCAACACAGCTAGACATTCTTGTAGTTAGGATATTTCAACACAGCTAGACATTCTTGTAGTTAGGATATTTCAACACAGCTAGACATTCTTGTAGTTAGGATATTTCAACACAGCTAGACATTCTTGTAGTTAGGATATTTCAACACAGCTAGACATACTTGTAGTAAGGATATTTCAACACAGCTAGACATCCTTGTAGTAAGGATATTTCAACACAGCTAGACATACTTGGAGTTAGGATACGTCAACACAGCTAGACATAGTTGTAGTCAGGATATGTCATCACAGCTTGACATACTTGTAGTTAGGATATGTCAACACAACTAGACATACTTGTAGTTAGGATACGTCCCCACAACTAGACATACTTGTAGTTAGGATACGTCACCACAGCTAGACATACTTGTAGTTAGGATACGTAAACACAGCTAGACATACTTGTAGTTAGGGTACGTCAACACAGCTAGACATACTTGGAGTCAGGATACGTCAACACAGCTAGACATACTTGTAGTTAGGGTACGTCAACACAGCTAGACATACTTGGAGTCAGGATACGTCAACACAGCTAGACATACTTGTAGTCAGGATATGTCATCACAGCTAGACATACTTGTAGTTAGGATATGTCAACACAGCTAGACATACTTGTAGTCAGGATACATCAACACAATTAGACATACTTGTAGTTTTAGGATATGTCAAAACAGCTAGACATACTTGTAGTTAAGATACGTCAACACAACTAGACATACTTGTAGTTAGGATAGGTCAACACAGCTAGACATACTTGTAGTCAGGATACGTCAACACAGCTAGACATACTTGTAGTTAGGATACATCAACACAGCTAGACAAACTTGCAGTCAGGACACATCAACACAGCTAGACAAACTTGCAGTCAGGATACATCAACACAGCTAGACAAACTTGTAGTCAGGATATGTCAATACAGCTAGACAACCTTGTAGTTAGGGTACATCACCACAACTAGACATACTTGTAGTTAGGATACGTCAACACAACTAGACATGCTTGTAGTTAGGATACGTCAACACATCAAGACATACTTGTAGTTTTAGGATATGTCAAAACAGCTAGACATACTTGTTTGTAGTCAGGATACATCAACACAGCTAGACATACTTGTAGTCAGGATACGTCAACACAGCTAGACATACTTGTAGTTAGGATATGTCAACACAGCTAGACATACTTGTAGTTAAGATACATCAACACAGCTAGACAAACTTGTAGTTAGGATACGTCAACACAGCTAGACATACTTGTAGTTTTAGGATATGTCAACACAGCTAGACATACTTGTAGTTAAGATACATCAACACAGCTAGACAAACTTGTAGTTAGGATACGTCAACACAGCTAGACATACTTGTAGTCAGGATACGTCAACACAGCTAGACATACTTGTAGTTTTAGGATATGTCAACACAGCTAGACATACTTGTAGTTAAGATACATCAACACAGCTAGACAAACTTGTAGTTAGGATATGTCAACACAGCTAGACATACTTGTAGTTAGGATATGTCAACACAGCTAGACATACTTGTAGTTAGGATACGTCAACACAGCTAGACATACTTGTAGTTAGGATACGTCACCACAACTAGACATACTTGTAGTTAGGATATGTCAACACAGCTAGACATACTTGTAGTTAGGATACGTCAACACAGCTAGACATACTTGTAGTTAGGATACGTCACCACAACTAGACATACTTGTAGTCAGGATAAGTGTATATCACCACAACTAGACATACTTGTAGTTAGGATACATCAACACAGCTAGACATACTTGTAGTTAGGATACGTCACCACAACTAGACATACTTGTAGTCAGGATATGTCAACACAGCTAGACATACTTGTAGTTAGGATACGTCAACACAGCTAGACATACTTGTAGTTAGGATACGTCACCACAACTAGACATACTTGTAGTTAGGATACGTCACCACAACTAGACATACTTGTAGTCAGGATAAGTGTTTATCACCACAACTAGACATGTGTTACCAGGGCACATTAAGTAGGTGCGTTGTTGTTGTTGTTAGACCTTGTAATGTTAAAGAGAAAAGAGAATGCATACACAGAGGCATCGCAGTACATATAGGATAGCACATAGCGAATATAACCTACGCTTCAGTTCAACACTTGTCATAGACTGGTAACTACAGTCAAACAAAACAGATTCAAGGCTGTAAGGGCAAAAGACTTTTTGTCACAATCTACATTTTATCACTCTACCCCATAATCATTGAGATAAGTATTACTGTATAATACTATACTCTGGGATGTAAATTTAACTGCAGTTACAACTGTATGTTTGAAACACTTGATCTAGCCTTATTCCTCAACAGTCTCTAGATTTGCTACAAATAATATATATTCTATATACAACTTATATAATTTGATAGAGTGCAATATCAATTTATGGAAAATATATCTGTAAAGCACTATAAATCAACAGAGACAATATTTGTGTATATAAAGGTATAACAAAAATATTCAAACCAGTGCACAGTAAAACAGTACTTAGAGAAATGCCCCCAGGTGACCTTGAGCGTTTTTTTGGGAGTCAGTTAGGCACGAGACTGTGACCTGAGTGGCCTTGTTTAAGCATATATAATTTGCACTATTTTGAGAAACCTTGACAGAATACCAGCGATTCCATACAATAGCTCATTCCCATGGTCTAGTTTAGATGTAATGTAAGGAGCATGCACAGTGACTTGCAGACATCTTTAGTCAGAATCTGTCTGATTCAACCAACATTTCAGACTTGCGAGTAACCTGATTTAGTAACAGCTATCACTAGCTTTTCTTTATGTAGTCTTCCATAGTCAAGAAGTCATTTACATCCCTATCAATACTCGGTAGAAATTTTGTTCCAAAATAAAGAAATTGGGCCAACGTCCAAAGTACTTGATCAACATAATTGACATAAGATCGTCTATCATCTGTTTTACTGGCATGAGAATTCTCTTTTAAATCTAAAAGCACATGCAAGCTTAATAGACAAGAGGCCCATGGGCCTTAACGGTCACCTGAGTTCTGATATATTTATACGGAGAGTTGATTTTTGTTTTTAAAACATGAACAGAAATATTATTCAAAGAGACAAAAAACAATAAAACCACCTTATTCAATATCTAGCATGCAGATTTAAGACTGAAAAGTATTTGAAACTAGCACCTCTGATCCTAAACAAGGAAAATGAAGAAATTTTAGCACACTGACTCCTTTGGGCCCCGCCCTATAGCCTTTGGGGGTAGAGCTGGCTCAAAATTATCGAAGTATCAAACTGTCAACTCATGGTTATAATTCCAATCAAATTATCAATATGTAATATCCAAAGTATCATTTGCTAATAAAAACCATAATAAATGTTGTGCATACCATCAAACTGCTATCCAATACTGATAATGCTAACCCAAATTGAATTACTTCCAATGGAAATTAAACAAATGTTGGTCCAAAATGTGATTTCCAGATATAAACTAGTAAAGTTTACCCCCTCCCCATAGGGAAACGTGAGACCCCAGGGTCATGAAATTCGCTCTTTTGGTAAAGTACCTTAATTAAGACCCTTCCATCTATGAAGAGTATTTGATTCTACCATATCTCTGAAATTTTATTCTATTTGACCCTTTTTGGCCCCGTCCCTCAGGCCTGGGGACCATATAAATCCCAATTGTTGTTGACTTTTGGCCATGGAAGGTTTTGCAAAATTTCATTGAAATTGGTTCAGGGGTTTTGGAGAAGAAGTTGAAAATGTAAATTGTTTACGGACGCACGACGGGCGACGACGGACAAAAGACGATTACAATAGGTTACTTGAGACTTTGTCTCAGGTGACCTAATAACTACACGAAAGAAGTATAAAGTACAAACAAGTTACAACAATGGGCACAACAGAACAACTAAACCGGTTGATGTCCTTTGAGCAAACTCCTCGCATACAAAGCTGTGTATTTGAAGACTTTTAACCAAAATTCTAAGAAAATCAACCAAATATATCCCTTATATATGTTAAATGTGGCGAACATGAGACCTTCCCTCATACATTGTTTCAATAAAGACAAAAAGGAAATATGAAACATGATGCAACGAACACTGCAAATTGTACAACTTCGGTACAATGAACTGTCTGGGCCTATGGATTATGAGCTTACATCTCTTCATCCTTACTTTGAAGAAGTCTTGGATTTAACCCCACCTCTCCTTCCCACCTATACTATTTCTTTAATTGGAACCCATCTGTTCATTACTAGAGGACACATATTTCAGTTTTACATTAACAGATTTTCTTGGTTCATGGATGTTCCATACCAAATTATGTCAAAACCTGTAATAGGTGTTCTGGACTAACAGTCTTTACATGATGAACAATTTAACAACAGATGATCACGGCATATGCTAACTCAGCTAAAGACTTAACACCAGTGATCTAAAGCTTGTGAAATATTGTTACTGAGTAAAAAAACTCAGCTAAAGACTTAACACCAGTGATCTAAAGCTTGTGAAATATTGTTACTGAGTAAAAAAACTCAGCTAAAGACTTAACACCAGTGATCTAAAGCTTGTGAAATATTGTTATATCATTACTGAGTAAGAGCCCAAAAAGGAATGCAAAGATAGAATAATTAGAAATAATGTCTACTAGTAATCAATCTAAAACATCTCCTGAATGTAAAAATAACCAACTTAGCTATTGCATGTAAAATACATCCTAAAGACTTCCTGACCCACCTTAACCACTGATCCTCTAGCCTAACAACAGCATTGCCATCCCATAACATTGATAGTGTGACTGGTGAACTGGATTTTGTAACATGTCCCAAACTGTAGCAATTCACCAAACCTATTGCATACATAGCAAGGATAAAATTTAGTTTATTATCTCTCTGTGTCAAGTCTGCAGATAGGAACATTGAAAACACACATGCAGAGTCTTAAACACAAACGTGCAGAGATCAGACTTAAATGATATCTGACAAGTGTTGAACTGACTATCGGTAAAACTCTATTAAACCAAGTGGCCAGCCTGAGTTCCTGTTTTTATCCATCACCTTGATCCCGGCATCTCTTTGCGCTTCAGCTTCACCAATACGAGCATCACGCTTTACTTGAGCTGTCCTTGCCATGCCTAAAGACTTCAAGTAACCCTAAGGACAAAAATTTCCTTATTTTATGGCAATTATCAGACATCTTTTATACAGGATTTCCCCAGTGTAAATCCTCTCATCTTTCATTCTGCAGGCTCTCCCTCGCTGTAATAAAAAAATACCTAGTTATCAGTCACCTTAATTCCAGCATCTCGTTGTGCTTCTGCCTCTCCAATCCTGGCATCACGCTTTACCTCCGACGTTCGCTTCATACCCAGTGACTTAAGGTAGCCCTAAAACAAAACACATGGCATGCCAGAATACATATATCAGGTATAAATAATTAAACGCCATTGATTACTGATCAGGACAACTTGTGTAAGTCAGGTTTTATTGTATGAATTACTTAAAAGTCACCTCATAACAGCTAAAACAAGGACAAAGGCCAGAAAACATGAGACGAAGTTGTCTTAATAACTGCCAAGAAACATGGTGATCATCAGTGTATAGGTAGTCTATACAATGTAGGTGAGACGCGTACTTACCTCATACTGCTTCAGGAATATACAATTTTCTCATTTACTTTTGTGTTACTCTAATTTTATTTTTGACATTGTGTGGGAATAAATATCACGTTTAAGAATTTTTTTGAAATTATTCCACAAAATCAATCTAATTCTACAAAGGACTCATCATTTAAGAAATTGATATGATGTTATATATCAGTTATCACAATTTAAACCTTTAACTAGGACTTCAAATATGATCCATTTTCATGTAGGATATACAAACTTTAGCATGAATTTTTGATGTCATATTTTTTTTATCTGTGAATAATACAAAAACATACTAATATGGTCATGACAATGAAATCACATATGCAAACATCTTGTAAATCACTAATGATAACAGGGCTTTATAATGTTCATATTCTTAAAGGAAAGGTTTCTGCTGTAGGACATATTTAATTATTATTTTTTCATATTATTCCTGACAAGTGATTGGCCAGAAGTGAAGCACGCGTCCACCGATAAGAAACCAATATTGACTTGGAGCGCATGATTTTTGTTGAAGGACTGGGTGTTACTAAAAATAGAATTATGATGTGCATAAAAACGAACGCATCGTCCCGCTTCCGTAGCTTTTTGCTGTGTTTTTATTTCATATAGCTAACATCACTGTTTTGAAAATAATAAAACAATTGTAGCCTTTGACTTCGATTGATACCTGGATTTATCGACCTGAGAATCGTCCTCTGTCAATATATCTTTTCCTCGGGTCGATAAATCCAGGTATCGACCGAAGTCAAAGGCTATAATTGTATAATATTACTTTTTATAATGACACAAACAAATATTACTTTTTGAGACCAGAAATATTTAAATATTCCATGAACAAGTCCAATTCTTAAAATTTGCGAAAATGAAAATACAAATGTATAGGCAAAGAGTTATTGAAATACAAACGTATAGGCAAAGAGTTATTGAAATAATTAATTTCATTGTTCAACAGCTAGACCTGTAGCTGCTGAAGTGAAAGTTTATCCTCTTATTCCATGTTCATATTAAATATTTATGGGTTCTGAATGGCTCTATGGTCTGTGATTTGCCCATGATTATAATTATCACTGTACAAGAGAAGTTCTACACAAATTGATTATTCGCATCTCAATCTGACACCATCATTTATGAACATTAAGTTTTTTATACATCTGTACAAATGAATTAAAATTCTATTTTATTTTTTAAGGGTACCGAAGAGTCTTTATAAAATTTACAGAATTGCACAAGCAGTTGAACTACCAACCACCAACCTGCCCAACATTGAACACTGATCCAAATACATACATCCGTAATGGCTTCGACTGTTGTATTAAACAATGAGTTGTTGCAAGAAATAAGACTGCTAGTGTCCGTTGATAAATTATAATCTATCACCAATGAACATGCTGGATTAAATGTTTTCAGTTGATCAGATGAGAAATATTTGACCAAGTTTTCAAGTACTTTATTTCTAAAATGCCAGAAAATATTGATCGTTTTTGTCCGACACTTTTTAATTCCTAAAATGTGAATTTTTAGTTTTCATTACATTCATCTTTCACACATCACTTAACTAAAATAAGCTAATTGGGAATAGCAAGCGTACATAACCTTTGACCTCTGTAATACTGACCTCATCGTCACGGATGTCCTTCAGTGTGTAACTGACCACACAGATTCCCATGTTGACTAAGTCAGATGAGGCGACCTCGAACACAGCTTTGGAGAACTTCTTACGATCCTTGTATATTTCCTGCGTAACAATCAAATTAAAATGTAAGGATTTTGATTACTACACCAAAACCTAAACTACTGCTTAAGGGAAATGTCAATTTACTTATCCGGTGCTGCCATTTCCGGGCTCACAGCTAGTATTCTACCATTCTAGCACTGCCAAACAACGTACTCATTTACACCCGAGTAGACTGGAACAAGCAGAGTAAAGAATCTTGCTCAAAGATACAACACAGTGCCATGCCGTGACTCGAACCCGCAACCCTCGGTCACAAGCCTACGTCCTACCACTAGACTACCGTGCCTCCTAAAGTTACTTCAGGGGAAATCCAGGGAGCTGAGGCAAATTAGCCTTTTCATAATTTTCTGGTCAACAACAGTATATTGCAGAGGGTGTTTCTATGTAAAATAAAAATAAAATTTTCACTTTCATTTTTAATGGGCCAATAGCCAGCCCCATTCAGGTAACTAACTACTACAGTTTTCTAGTAATCCCCGTCACTTGTAGTATTTCACCAAGTTAATTTTACAGAAATTGTCTGATGCAGATCAACCACAGACGATGTGAGTACCTCTACTGTCATGTTGCCCATGATAGCTCTCTGGTGACCTTCCAGCGTTTCCTGGGCCACCTTGCGGATCTCGTGTTCTGGCTTTCCCAGGAAAAGTTCACATGCTGATTCCAACATGTCTTTACTGGAGCCTTGAATCTTTACCTACAAAGTTACATATACCAAATATATAAATGTTGCATCTCTTAAAAATTATGGATATACAAGCAAACAGTTTTATTTAGGTTAAATACATTTATTCCAGAATTCTAAGCTATTTTTTCCCCAAAATTTACAACAAAAGGTGTTGCTTTTGAAAAATGTTTTGTTATTATAACATTCATGTGGTTCGATTTTTTTTTCTATGAATGAATTCACAAATTTATAAATTTTCATCTATATAGTGTTTACAAGTCCAACACATTGAATTGTACAAGGTGTCAGAATACACAGTGTTTTTTGTTGATCTAATGTTTTTGTCCAATACAATTGTTTCATTACTGATCATGAGAAAACACAAACAAATATGGCTACATTTTATGCTAATGATTCCATATGACAAATCAATGTTACAGTGCGGTTTACAGATATGCATGCTGTACAGAGAATCGGTGTGGGTATAGAAACATCACTAGTTATGTATTGGCAGGGGAGTCTCGTAGAACATGCAAGATATACTCAGGTGTCTTCGTTGTTAGATGACATCACCAGTATGGAAATTATAATTGACCATCATCGTATTATGTTAGCTGGCGCTGTATGACCAAAAATAGGGAATACCAACACAAGGCATCTATGGTAATAAAAATACCCTCTATATTTACATACAAATATGCTAAGAATCTAAAAATTCTGTTGTGTTTATTTGTTTAACAATCTATCATTGTGTGTACCTTTGATGACAGCAATTAATTCTAAGATCTGATCAATACCAAATTTGACCATATTGCATTTTGTCAAATGAAATGGCAGAGATTTTTTGTGATGCTGAGTTTTGAAGTTTAACCTATATAGAAAATCATCAATCTTCAGCATTCTTCCTGATCTGTTGTATAAACACTCATATATAGGCTAAGGCGGTATGCGCTGGGCATGTGAAAACATTCAACTTTTCAAGAAATTTATTGAATTCTGCTTAATTTGACCCCTGAGTATTCTGTCATATCTGACGTACAGCTCAAATCCCATTTCTCATTATAATTAAGGAACCAAAAAAACCCTGTGTATTCTGACACCTTGTATAATCCAATGTGTTGGACTCCTCAGAGCACCAGATCAGGCAGGGGTTAGCATATATCTGATTATAGTTAGTCTTAACAGGTTAGTATCTAAGTCTTAGCACAGGATATTGGATATAAATCAAACATTCCATTTTGTACCGGATTCAGTGGTGTTGGTGCTCATCATTTTTCATTTTTATTTTTAGTCTTAACACAAGATAACTGACCACACGTTTTATAAAACAATGAACATGAACTATAACGGCGGTTTTGTTTTGTGATGTTTTTAATATTTGATGAATCAAATATGTAAACGACACCTTGCTGTACTGTAAACAAATTGGTCCTATACAAGCTAGCAGCCATGATGTAATGTAACATGCCACAGACAGAAGTCCATTACAACGTATAGAACCAAACAGATCAATAGAAACGGGCCAGCACACAAACAGAAAGAGTGGGAACACTCAGAAATAAAGACATGCAATAAGTTATTGAACAATCTGTTTATATCAAGTTCCTGATGCTTTATCAGGATAACTAAGGACACAACAAGCACTGTATAACCACCTTTTCCCCTAATAACCTTTGTTTATGCAGTCATAGCTGTTTATCTGGTTCAGACAGTGTTACAACCCCACAACTTTACAGATTGCGCAGCTATCATGTACTAGGCCAGAGGCAGGCTGTTTCCATGGAAATTGCTCCACCAGACAGGGTGTACATGTAAACCAAGCTAGCAGTGGGTCAGTGTACAACCTTATCTGATCAGGCACTAATAACTGGACTCTTGTTGGATTCAAATATTTATCTTCATATATGGATTTTACTAAACCTTTTAAAATTAGCTGCATCCCTTTATAGATCTGTTCTACTCACACAACATCCTGGACATATATATATATATATATCACACAAGTTATTACAACATGTATTACAAAATTAATCTCTGAGACAACTAAGAACTCCACTTAACTACCAGTACATAATATATACACACTGAAACACAGGCACATTACCCTACTGCAGGCATATAACTTCCTACACACATCTACTACCACTTCTAGGGGGGGGGGGTGTAAATAAAGAACTTCTTACACACATCTACCATCACTTCTAGGGGGGTAAATAAAGAACTCCCTACACACATCTACTAGGGGGGTAAATAAAGAACTCCCTACACACATCTACTATCACTTCTAGGGGGGTAAATAAAGAACTTCCTACACACATCTACCATCACTTCTAGGGGGGTAAATAAAGAACTTCCTACACACATCTACCATCACTTCTAGGGGGGTAAATAAAGAACTTCCTACACACATCTACTATCACTTCTAGGGGGGTAAATAAAGAACTTCCTACACACATCTACTATCACTTCTAGGGGGGTACATAAAGAACTTCTTACACACATCTACCATCATTTCTAGCGGGGGTAAATAAAGAACTTCCTACACACATCTACCATCACTTCTAGGGGGGGGTAAATAAAGAACTTCTTACACACATCTACTATCACTTCTAGGGGGTAAATGAAGAACTCCCTACACACATCTACCATCTATTCTAGGGGGGTAAATAAAAAACTTCCTACACACATCTACCATCACTTCTAGGGGGGTAAATAAAGAACTTCCTACACACATCTACCATCACTTCTAGGGGGGGGTAAATAAAGAACTTCTTACACACATCTACTATCACTTCTAGGGGGGTACATAAAGAACTCCCTACACGTATCTACGATCACTTCTAAGGGGGTAAATAAAGAACTTCCTACACATATCTACTATCACTTCTAGGGGGGTAAATAAAGAACTTCCTACACACATCTACCATCACTTCTAGGGGGGTAAATAAAGAACTTCCTACACACATCTACCATCACTTCTAGGGGGGTAAATAAAGAACTTCCTACACACATCTACTATCACTTCTAGGGGGGTAAATAAAGAACTTCCTACACACATCTACCATCACTTCTAGGGGGGTAAATAAAGAACTTC